ACTAGCTCCCGACCTCACTAGCTCCCGACCTCACTAGCTCCCGGCCTCACTAGCTCCCGACCTCACTAGCTCCCGGCCTCACTAGCTCCCGGCCTCACTAGCTCCCGGCCTCACTAGCTCCCGACCTCACTAGCTCCCGGCCTCACTAGCTCCCAGCCTCACTAGCCCCAAACAGTGCACCCTCCAGCACACATATTCCCCTCCCCACCCTCCAATAGTCACCTGTAGCTGTTGTCGAGAGAAACAGCTCCATCCAGGTTGAACGCTCAATCCATCTCCCCGTTCCCAGTAGGCCCTGATGCAACCTCACTAGCATCCACCCTCCAAACTCAAAACAGTGCACACTCCCCCACACATATTCCCCTCCCCTCCCTCTCAACCTCACCTGTAGCTGTTGTAGAGAGAAACAGCGCCATCCAGGTTGAATACCCAATCCATCTCCCCGTTCACACCAGCCCCGGCAGCAGCCGAACCAGCCGAACCAGCTATGGGCCTGAGGCTCGTGGCAAGCCACTCAGCCAAGCCTGAGGAGAAGCCTCGGCGCTGAGTCAGCTCCTGGAGGAGCCACCTGCGGTTCGGGAGTTGCACGGAGGCATTATGCATGTAGGCATGTGCATACAGGCATGGTGCATGTAGGCATGGTGCATGCAGGCATGGTGCATGCAGGCATGGTGCATGCAGGCATGGTGCATGCAGGCATGGTGCATGCAGGCACCTAAGCACAGTGCATGTAGATCTATATACAACGAAAGCACACGGGTTTTCAGGTTTAGGGCGACTTTTGGGAGTAGCTAGTACCTTTTGGAGGGAATAGGGCGGGGCAGCTCCTGCAGCGTTGCAATCACTCGCTCCACGTCCCTCCGCTCCGCATCCTCCCCCAACGTGCAGTCAGATATGCGGCCCGGAACCGAGTCTAGCACCCACAGCTGGGGAGGGAGGAAAGCGAGAGAGAGAGAGAAGGGTATGTGAGCACATGATGAACCATCTCACATTCCCCCCGAACGTGCAGTCAGATATGCAGCCGATTTTTTAATCGACTGAAAAATCGTGCAGTCAGATATGCAGCCGATTTTTTAATCGACTGAAAAATCGTGCAGTCAGATATGCAGCCCGGCACCAAGTCCAGCACCCATAGCTGGGGAGGGAGGAGGGACAACGGAGACCAGCATGTGAGAGCATGATAATCAGATACACCATCCCATTCTCCCCCATGCAAATGACGATTCCTTGCTCTCTCCTCCCCTCCACCCACACAAGTATACTCCCTCATTTCTTCCCCAATGAATTCATACCACCTGCTGCAGCAGCAACCCTGGCTAGCTCCCTTTCTCCCCCACCTTCTTCTACCACCTCCTCACTCACTCATCTTCCTCACTTTCTCATCTCCCTCATTCCCTCGTCTCACTCACTCCCTCATCTCCCTCACTCCCCCATCTACCTCATTTCCCTCTTTCCCTCCCACCTGCTGCGGCAGCATCACTGGCAATTCCCCCGCGCGAGCCCTCCGCACATACTCTAGCGCGATCTTCCCGCCCATAGAATGACCAATCACCACGTCAGCTCTCCCACCCGCCACGTCAGCGACGAGGCGCGCCAGATCAGCAGCCGCGTTACTCATGTCATCCGGCTGAAGGAACTGCCGGGCGGCGGATTGCGCGTGGTGCCGAAGATCCACCAGCAGAAAACGCCAAGAAAGCCCACTTGCTGAATTGTCACCTACGCGGGAATTGCCGGCATTAACCAGCCGGTTTCCTAGAAGCTTTGCGGGGCTGCGCCAATTGCGACCAGATCCCAGCAGGCCGTGAACGATGACAGCTGTCGCGGTCCTATTGGGGCTGGTGCTCTTGGGATCATCGGACGAGCCGTTAGGGCGTATAACGAGTTCTTCGTAAGCGAGGATGGTTCGAGAAGAGTCAGATGTCGGGAAGCCTGCCTGATTGGTAGCTTGGCTTGCGATTGCCAACCCAAACGAACGGCTGGATCCTCCTGCTGCTGCTGCTGCTGTAAACGGAAGTTCCTGTTCCAGCGAAGCGAAAATTGGAAGGACTCGGTGCCGCGTGGGATGATATCGCGGTCTCGCGGTTCGCCTGACGAATCTGGCGAGCGAATTCATTGGAGAAGGATCGGTAAGAAGCTTTGCCGTGAAGCCTTCAGTTGGTAATTACAAAAGAGTTTAACAGTAAAGTATTGCGAAGGTGCCCTTTCATAACCGCGAGGCAGAATTGGCGAAATTCCACTGAAATTCTGTAGTGGAGAAGGTATAGAGATGATCACGGAAACGCGGAACGATCGAATAAGCTATGTTGACGATTTTGTTCCTTCCGTATCCTGTCTTACGTCCCTCCCTATCGGCGCTCTTCGTCAAACCTCAAAACTGTGCCTCAAAGCTAATTAATCATGGGTGGAATGGAGTAGTCTAGGATATCTGAAGCTGAGTGGACCGTACTCATTAAAAGCCCGATTCAGCTCACATTACCGCTAACGAAATGTGGATGGAGATTCGCCTGGTGTAGAACAACCATCCCACCACTCATTCACAACTGGGAGCTGAGCTGGATTGCAGGGGTGTTGACGACATGAGGGCTGAAAATTGCCCTTCCTTCCACTTGGATGCTCGTACAGTAGAATGCCGTCGATGGCTGTGAGTAGAATTGTCTACGCCGTCGATATTGCACGTATGGCATCCAATCGAAAATGGGGCATCCCTACCGAGCCTATCGGCGCGAACCTCGAACTGCTTTGGGATTGTCCCGTGACATCCGGAAGGGATGCAGCCTATCACGCCACACCACACCATCACGCGCATCAAACCATCGATGGCACATGTTCAGCCAATCATGTTCATTGTCATCTTGCCTTAGACCATCAACCACACCACATCCTCGCCAGCCAGGAGCCCTTACGTAATCACCATGCCTAGTTTTCGGCCGAGGCTAAACATGCAAACCTAAAACATCATCGTTGTGGCCTGAAAGTACCCAGTCAGAGCTCTTTATCAAATTTCAGCCAATCATAGACAGTCTTAGACAGCATCATTCATAGGTACGGTGTTCTCAAACCTCTCCGAACCATTTTTCCAAGCCAATTCATACCCTTACACACACCATGCCCACATCACATTTGTTTCCTCCCGAGACGCACACCCTGCGAAATGACAAATGAGCTCACACCACCAAACCAAATGCATTCGTTCGTCCAAGGCCTCGGAGGAATTCGCCCTTGAGAATGTCATTCGTCATTCGCCTCGGCTTGCCTCACATTGCCTCATCACCATTCCATTCCCATTTGCAAGTAATTTTTCACCTTCCTCACTTTCATCAAGCACCCGTCTGCCAAATTCCTGCGCACATGACACATTAGCTGGCTACCGATCCCATTCACCCGTACTTGCTTTGAAACCCTTGCTTTCTTCGCAGTTGTATTTCAGGACGTTCTCCTGCTCTGCCATTCCTATTCCTCTCTCTCCATCACGGGAAACCCTTCAGCACGTTCTAGCTCGCAGGATTACTCAGGTTTCAAGGTTCTGTAAGGCAAGAAGTCGTCGTCTTAAGGGGCAGCGAAAGTGCGACTCTCGTCGAGGCTCGTGCTTTTGCTGTTCCGTTAATAAGAAAAACTCCTTGTGTTTCTCGAATTCCTACAAAAAAAACTCCTTGTGTTTCTCGAATTCCTACGAAATTCGTTTCAAACGAGCACTAGTGCCTCTGCTATCAGTCGGCCAGTTTCTTCTCAGGACTGCGGCTGTGGTTTCCCGTATTGTGATTAGCCTAGTATTCCATTTTCCATTCTCAGGACTCCCAAGTGCCATTTGAAGGACTCCAGCTCACTTCCATCTCACCCTGCGGACTTGCATACGACATAAACGGAACCGCCGCGACGAGTAGCTTCCGTTCTACCTTGTCGTCTACGAGGGAGGCCGCGTTTCACGCCTTCTGCACAAGAACTCTAGCTGTTTAACTTCAGGCAGCCAGCAGCCATGATTGGCGCCACGTGCAGCAGCGACGCGATGATATCTGACAACGCCTCGCTCGCCGTCACGAGCCTTTCTGCCGGCTCGAGCGGCGGGTCCAAGGAGCTGATGACGCTCGTTACGGTTCCTTCAACGTCTCTTATCACTGCTGCTACAGCCAGCGACGATGCTTCAGCAGACGCTCACTACACAACCGGACATGCTACCGCCGTCCGTGCTACTGTTGAACCGGCACCCGCGTTTGAGGAACCGCCGCTATCGCGTCAGCGGAGGGAGACGGAGGAGCTCTTGTTGGCGGTTAACTCGAGCGTGCTGCTGCGGATTCTGTCTGACGTCAGCCTGTCTGCGGAGGACCTCGCGCGCCTCGAGGTAACGCGCGTGCGAGCAGATCCTGAGAATGAGAAATAGTTTCAACGTGCGGCGCCCCTTGTTTGGAGCAGTCGCCTCAGAGCTGTCGTTGGCTGAAATCCTTGTCGTTTTTAAAGTCGCCTTGGCTCGTAGATTTTTTGGTTTTACCTCGGCATGTGATTCCTTTTGACTTTTGAGTCGACTCAAAAGTCAACTTTACCTTGGCATGTGATTCCTTTTGTCTCATATCAAGTCGCGCATGTCTTTTGAAAGTTTCTTGCTGTCTGACTTGTGGTGCGGGTTAACGCGCGGCACACCTAGAAATTTAACACGCGCGCGGCTTAGTTTTCAATGCATGCGCGTCTTTCCGGCGGAAGGAGTCAGCTCTCTCCCGTATCGCCCCTCCCCCGTACCTCTTCTCTCCCGCACCTTCTCTCCCCTCTGCCTTCCTCCGTGCCTCCCCTCGCGTGCCCCGCCAGTTCATGTGCGGGTTCTTCCGCCGGGCCGCGCATCTGACTCCCAACCCGCGCCTCTGACTCCCAACCCGCGCCTCTGACTCCCAACCCGCGCCTCTGACTCCCCACCCGCGCCTCTGACTCCCCACCCGCGCCTCTGACTCCCCACCCGCGCCTCTCTTTGACGGAAGCGGCGGCGCACGACCCAGCAGCTCTCCCTGCGCTTCCGCATGCCGTCTGTCCACCGTGCCGTCTCTCCCATCTGCCTTTCCCCCCCTTCCTCTTCCCCCCACCCCGCTCCAACAGCTAGTGTGTGGTTTCTTCCGCCGGCCCGCGCATCTGACTCCGCACCCGCGCCTCTCATTGTCGGAAGCGGCGGCGCACGACGCCAGCAGCTCTCCCTGCGCTTCGGCATGCCGTCTCACCGTGCCAGGAGAGGGTCTCTGCCTTTCCCTCCGTGCCTCTTTCCCCCAATCCTGCTCCAACAGCTCGTGTGCGGGTTCTTCCGCCGCCCCGCGCACTTAACTCCGCACCCGCGCCTCTCGCTGGCGGAAGTGGCGGCGCACGACCGCTGCCAGCAGCACTCCCTGCGCTTCCGCATGCTGCCGCGCGCGCAGCAGCGCCTGTTGTGGGCGCGTTGCGGGCGTTCGTGGAAGCTTCTGCTGCGCTTCCTTATTACCAGCGACGCCTGCATCAGGTAACAGGGCAACTAAAGTGACATTCTGTGAAATCCGGTAACGTTTGGTAGCATCAGGTAACAGGTTAACTCAGATAACCTATTGTAACATCGGGTAACGTCATGGCAGCACTTGGTAACATCAGATAAGATCTGGTAACATGTGGTAACATCTGGTAACAAGTGGTAACGCTAGGTAACGTCATTGCATAACTGCGTTCTTTGCTGTCGCTCGACTGTGCTTTTTGCAAGTTGTTTTCCTGCTGTACCTGCTCCTTTTGCCTCCCACTGGAAAACTGCGAAGCATATCTTCCCTCTGGCTCGAATCTTGTCTCAAAATTTGCCTGCTGTACCTGCTCCTTTTGCTTTCCACTGGCTAATTGTCGAATATAACTTCCCTCTGGCTCGAATCCTGTCTGCCAGGCACGGCCAGCCCCAGGTGGCAGCGGGGTGTGCGCACAGCGTAGCGGTGGGGCGCGGTGGAGAGGTGTGGACGTTCGGGCATGGTTCGGCAGGGCAGCTGGGGAGACCCCTGGCTGCTGCTGGCAGTGCTGGTGCGGCTGCTGGTGGTACTGCTGGTGCAGCTGCTGCTGCTGGTTATGCCAGTTTTGCCGCTGCTGCTGCTGCTGCTGTTGGTGGTGTTGGTGGGTTTGCTGGGCTTGCGAACGATGTGACAACCACTCTGGCAACCACTGCAACAGGGGCTGTGACTGTGACTTTAAGGAGTGGGCTTGAAAGGGGGCTGGTGGGGAGCAGTGATGCGTCCGCGGAACCTTCCTGGAAGCCACAGATTGTGAGGTGAGGACTGTCACATGGAAACATGGTTCCATGCGGTGCGTGCAGGTTGAGTGTGAGGTAGTGAGGTAGGTTGCGATGTAAGACGGTTCACCATAACCTATATAACTTCAAGTGAAGTGTGTGACACGATATGAGCGCATGTAATAAGTAAAACACAAGGGATCAACTGTAACGCATCGCAATGTGATATCATTGCAACTCCAAGGGTGTCTCACTGTTGTGTGCCCTGCTATGCATGTGAGAGAGCAATACCGCACTCAAAGTGCTGTCATACATACCGAGTTCCCCGCTCCACTGCATGCCTATCGGTTCTATGACTGCAGGTGTTGCAGGCGGCAGCGGGTAGGGCGCGTACCATGCTAGTCACAGACACAGGCTCACTCATTCTGCATCCTTCTTCCTCCTCTCCCATCCCACAGGTCCCTGCTGGAAGTGCAGGTGTTGCAGGCGGCAGCAGGCAGGGCGCGTACCATGCTAGTCACAGACACAGGCTCGGTGTATCAAGTAATCATGCTCTCTATCCGCCTCCTCCTCTCCTTCCCCATGCTCTCTCATTCTCCACTGCATGCAGGTCGGTGCTATGAGTGCAGGTGTTGCAGGCGGCAGCGGGCAGGGCGGGGGTAAGAAAGAATATGCTAGTCACAGACACAGGCACAGGCTCAGTGTATCACGGTCTCATGTTCTTTCTTACCGCTGCCCTTTTCCCGGCTGCCTCTGTCCATCCACCACACGCACGCAGGTCGTTGCTAGGAGTGCGCGTGGTGCAGGGAGCAGCAGGCCGGGCGAGAACGATGCTGGTCTCAGACACAGGCTCGCTGTATCACTGCGACTTGCTCTTTATTCCCACCGTCCTTTCCTCCCCCATGCTCTCTACTCACTTCTCAGGTCGTTGCTGGGAGTGCGAGTGGTGCAGGCAGCAGCAGGCCGGGCGAGGACAATGCTAGTCACAGACACAGGCTCGGTGTATCACTTCGGCAGGGACTGCTTCGGCGACCAGGAATACTCCCTCACCTCCCCCGAGCCTGTTACCGAGCCTCGGCTCGTGCATTCGCTTCGGCACATTCAAGTCGTCCAGGTGAGGCGCCTTAAAAGCAATTACCTTCATTATTATGACCCACTCTCTCACACTTTGCCATGCTCTGGTCCTTCTCGATGTGACTTTTGAGTGAGTCGACTCAAAATTCACCCAGTTACCTTCATTATTATGACCCACTCCCTTCACACTCTGCCTTGCTCTGGTCCGGAGACTTCTCAAAGCTTCAAGCTTGATTGTGTCGTACAACTCATCCACACCGCTTCGCATCTCTTCAACATCCCTTCACACCCCTTCACACCCCTTCACACCCCTTCACACCCCTTCACACCCCTTCACACCCCTTCACACCCCTTCACACCCCTTCACACCCCTTCACACCTCTTTGCATCTGTACCTCCCTCATTCGCAGCGCTCTCTGCTGCTTTCACCCCTTCCGCCATGCAGGTCGCGTTGGGGAATTTCTTCACAGCAGTGCTTTCAGCTGAGGGCCGCGCTTTCACTCTCCGTTGAGGTGGACGGGGGGGCTTTTGAGTCGACTCAAAAGTCAGCAGTGCTCTCTGCCCTCTTTCAAAGCCCCTCTCTCTGCTTTCCACCCCTTCCCCTCTGCAGGTGGCGTTGGGGAATTTCTTCACAGCAGTGCTTTCAGCTGAGGGCCGCGTCTTCACTCTCTCTTGGGGCGGCCGGGGGGATGGCAGACGTACCACCATCACTGCTGCTGCTGCTGCTGCTGCCGCTGCCGCTGCCGCTGCTGCTGCTCCTGCTGCTGCGGCTGCTGCTTTTCCTGTTGCTGCTGTTTCCGCGAATTCTGATGCTGATGGCGATGCAAGCCAGAGCTTTAATGATGCTGTGGCAGCAGGCAGTGAGATCCGAGGCGAGAGGCTCGGGCACGCCACCGACCCTGCGGATACCGTGCCTCGGCAGCTGGCCGGGCCTGGGATGAGCGCCGTGCTTGGGCTGGGTGGAGGGGGGAGAGGAGGGGGTTGTGGAGGGAGGAAGGGGAGGCTTGGTAGGAGGGCGGGAAAGGGCGTGGGAATGAAAGGAAAGGGGTTGGTAGGATGTTGTGGAGTCACGGGGTGCAGTAGTGTGGGAAGTGGTGATGGTGCAAGTGGTGATGGTGCTAGTGGTGCTGGTGCTGCTGGTGCTGGTAGTGCTGGCTGTGGCAGCTGCAAGAGTGGTGAAACACGTACGGAGATGGAGAATATGGAGGCGGAAGGGGGAGAGGAGTGGGAAGAAGAAGAGGAGGAGGAGGAGGAGGGCGGGATAGTGTCTCTCCCAGTGGTGCAGATAGCAGGAGGGCACTGCTACCTGCTCGGGTTGACCTGCGCCAACGAGCGTCACGGCAGGTGAGTTGACTTTTGAGTCGACAGGTGTGCGCACACAGTAGTAATGTGAGTGATAAGCTTAGTGGCGCAATAGTGTCTCTCCCAGTGGTGCAGATAGCAGGGGGACACTGCTACCTGCTGGGACTGACTTGTGCCAAGGAACCTCACGGCAGGTGAGGCTGGTGATACGCCTAGTGGTGGGGTGTGATGTGGTGTGGTGTGGTGTGGTGTGGTGTTGTGAGGTTTGATGTGGTGTGGTGGGACAAGTGGTGCAGATAGCAGGGGGGCATTGCAACTTACGGCAAGTGTGCCCCGTGATAGGTGTGGTGTGGTGTGGTGTGGTGTGGTGTGGTGTGGTGAGCCGTGTACAGATGGTATTGGCCATGCCATGGCACAGAACGGTGCAGATAGCAAGCAAGAGAGGCACTGCCACTTGCTCGGGCGGAATTACTACACTAGCATGGGAAGCTGGTAGTTTTCGTTGAAAAGTTAGGCTACGTCACACACCCGTTTCCTTCCTCCTCTCTCTTCCCCCCTCCTTTCCTCAGGTCGGTCTGGTCCATAGGTTGTGGTCTGGGCGGCAAGCTAGGCCACAGCACTCTAGTGGTCTTACCACCATCTCTTCCCCCGCCCATCCCCTCTTTCCTGCCCCCTCGTCAAAACCCCTCCTCTCTCTCCCCCCTCCTTTCCTCAGGTCGGTCTGGTCCATAGGTTGTGGTCTGGGCGGCAAGCTGGGCCACGGCACAAAGTACGACGAACGCTGCCGAAAGAGATCTCGCATTTCAAAGCCCTAGAGATCGCCCCCACAGCTGTTGCTGCGGGCGCGTGGCATGATGATGCTGTCGCTGCTGACGGTTGAGTCGCCACGTGGGGGTGGGGCAGGCAGTGGCACACAAGATCACAGCCGTTTTTTCTTCTTCCACTTCTGCTTCCCTCCCTGCTCTCTTCTCCCCTGTTCCCCCGCTTCCCCCCTCGCCTCCTCAGGTCTGTCTGGTCTATTGGCTGTGGTCTGGGCGGCAAGCTAGGCCACGGCACAAAGTACGACGAGCGCCGCCCGAAAGAAATCGCGCACTTCAAAACCCTAGAGTTCGCCCCCACAGCCGTTGCTGCGGGCGCGTGGCATGCTGCTGCTGTTGCTGCTGACGGGAGAGTTGCCACGTGGGGGTGGGGCAGGCACGGGTGTCTAGGGCATGGAAAAGACCAGTGTGAAACGCTGCCCAGGGTTATTGAGAGCTTGTGTCAAACGGAGGAGGAGGAGGGGGGTAGGAGTAGTGGGGTGAGTGGAAGGGGCGGTGTTGGCGCTGGTGCTAATGATGCTGCTGGTTCTGGTGGTGCTGCCTCTACCTCTGCTTCTGCTGCTTCTCCCTCTGGATCAGACGCAGCTGCCAGCAGGGATGAATCGCACGGCTCACGTGGCAAGCTCCGCCCAGCTGTGAAAGCATGCCACGTGGCAGCAGGGGATTACACGACGTTTGTGGTGGGGGAGGGCGGCGAGGTGTGGTCGTTTGGGAGCGCGGAGAGCGCGTGTTTGGGGCATGGCGGCGGGTGGGAGAGGGAGGAGGAGGAGGAAGGGGAGGAGATTGACGATGCTGATCTTCATGATATCGTGGTGAGTAGTTGTTTTAGGGTCATGGGGACAAATGCATGTGTGGTTTTATTATGAAGACGAGGTGTGGTGGTCGTTTGGGAGCGCTGAGGTTACATGTTTTGGGAATGGGGGTGGGGGGGGAGAGGGAGGAGGAGGAGGAGGAAGGCGACGAGATAGACAATGCTGATCTTCACGACATCGTGGTGGGTCTTTTTTCTTTTTCTTTTGAAGCCTTTTTGGCACGTCTTGTTGCCTCAAACACGTTCCAGCTCCTCCCAGAAATGTCTGTTTGCCCTGTTTTCTATGTGGAATGTGCATGTGCTGATAAGGGCTAAGATTTTATCAATTCATGCTTCATCACCCGCGCCCCCTCACTCCCCCCAACGCACCACACACAATGACCTCTTCTTTCATCCCTATCCTTCTCACCCCACACATCCACACTCCGCACACCCTCATCAGTTGCGGCAGCACCGGTGGCGCTATCGGGATGTGATGCAGCCGAGGCGGGTGTCTCTGCTGGAAGAGCGAGCTACCCACCCACCTGCTTCTCTTACCCCTCACTCCCACTTCATCCCCCTCTTTTTCCCCAACCCTCATCAGTTGCGGCAGCACCGGCGGCGCTATCGGGATGTGATGCAGCCGCGGCGGGTGTCTCTGCTGGAAGAGCGAGCTACCCACCCACCTGCTTCTCTTACCCCTCTTGCTCTTCCCTCTCCCTTACACTGCCCACTCCCCCCACATTCTCCCAGTTGCGGCAGCACCGGAGGCGCAACCGGGATGTGATGCAGCCCAGGCGGGTGTCTCTGCTGGAGGAGCGAGCTGCCCACCCCCCTGCTCCTCTGCCCCCTCCTGCACCTGCTGCTGCTCCTGCTGCTAGTCCTGCTGTTGATGCTGCTGATGCTTGTGCAGCACTCCAGGCTTCTGCCAGCCCGCTTGTTCCTGCTTCTGCTGCCACCCCTCCTGATGCTGCAAGTCCTGCTGCGGCCACTGGTGCTGCCGCCACACAGCTAGGCCGGGGACCTGCCGGTGCAAGGGGCAGCGTGAGAGGGCGGTTTACGTGGGGTAGTCTGCCCGCTTCTGCCACTGCAGGACGAGGGAGAGATTCTACAACAACTCCATATGCTGCTGCTGATGCCACCACTGCTTCTGCTGCTAATACTGCTGCTAATACTACTACTACTGCTGCTGCTGCTTTTGCTGCTGTTGCTGATGTTACTGGTCCTGCTGATCACGTCATTTCTATATCACCGGTAATCACCAGCAGCGCTGACAGTGGGAGTGGGAGTGGCAGTGGCAGCGGTGACGCTATGGCTGTGAGTTTGAGTGAGTGGATGAGCAGTATAGCCTGCAGCAGCAACTCTGGCCCGGATAGCCCCTTCGGCAACAGCAGCAGCAACACTAACAGCAACAGCAACAGCAGCAACAGCAACGGAAATGGCAACAGGAGCACCAGCGACGCTGCAGCCGGTAGCAGCAGCAGGAGAGGTACAGTGGTGCAGATAAGTACATCGAATGCCGGCCACTTTGACGCTCACATGCTGGCACTGACCAGTGATGGCAGGGTGCTGGCATGTGGGGGTGGGAGTAAGGGGCAGCTGGGGGCGCCCCCTGCTGCAGGGGATACCTCGTTCCCCCAGTTCGTGAAGGGGCTGCTTCTGTGAGTGTCATTGCCTGGAAGAGTGGCGTTGACCTGCGTTGACTAGAGTTGACCAGGAACGGCAGGGCGCTGGCATGTGGGGGCGGGAGTAAGGGGCAGCTGGGGGCGCCCCCTGCTGCAGGGGATACCTCGTTCCCCCAGTTCGTTAAGGGGCTGCTACTGTGAGTGTCATTGGCTGGAAGAGTGGCGTTGACCTGCGTTGACTAGAGTTGACCAGGAACGGCAGGGTGCTGGCATGTGGGGGCGGGAGTAAGGGGCAGCTGGGGCCACCCCCTGCTGCAGGGAATACGTCCTTTCCTTAGTTTGTGAAAGGGCTGCTTCTGTGAGGGTCTTGGGCTGGATGAGTGCTGTTGACCAGCGTTGACCAACGTTGACCAACGATGGGTGTTGCTGACATGTGTTGCTGGCACTTTGTGCCAGCCAACATTGACCATCATTGACCGGCCTTGGATGGACTGAGATTGCAGGGGACAAGTGTGTAAGCAGTGCTGCACAGCCAGCCACAGGAGGTTCAGGCAGAGAGCCTCTGTGAAGAGATGGTGGAGATGGTGTGGATTACGAGTGATATGGAGAATGATAGGGAGGATGGGCGGCAAGGAGGATGGGCGGCACGGAGGATGGGCGGCACGGAGGAATAACGGGAGGATAAACAGGAGATGACGGAGGGCCTGGAGTCTTTTCCGGGTTTGAGAAGGCGTTGTATATAAGACAGTACGGTGGTATGGTGTTGCGTATAGGGTAGTAAGGTGGTGGTTGTCACAGGGTTGGGGGGTACAGAGCGGTGGTAAAGATCATTTGAGAGGTGCAGGTATGTTCATTTAGTAAACTCAAAGAGTCAGGTTGTCAGAGGGCTGGAGCACAGGGTGGTGGTTTAAAACGATGGGAGAGGTGAAGGTACCATACGCAACGCTTTAGAAGGTGGCGGGGACAACAGTTGGCAGGCAAGAGGTGGTTGTCAGAGGGTTGGGGTATGGGGCGGGGTGAAAAAGGATGGGAGAGGTGGAGGTATGTAAGAGGTACGTAACACTTTGTATAGTTTGTGAGTTTGTACAGGAAGCAGAGGGATGGATGTGAAGACTCGAGACCCAAGAGCAAGGAGCTCTTGAGTGCGACTGGCGGCTCGTCGTCTCTGTGTGGTGTGTACATTTTGGGGGTGATTGAACATGGACAAAATAGTTTAGCTGATCTAGGGGGTGCCAATTTACTTCGGAGGGTCGAAGTTGGTACGGTAGTGGCAGGGTTATAGGAGAAAACTGTCTGCGTGATAAGACCTTGGGGATCTAACTTGTAAATATGTATTCGGTGGTAAATGCTTTTCTGTGGGCTAACAGGTCGTATCCTACCTGTGCCCATGGGAGTAGCCCCCCCCACCCCCCCTCAAGAATGCCTGCCATACCATGCTAAGCCATGGTGTGCTGGGCGAGGAGAGGCTAGGACAAGGCAAGTCAATCAAATTTAGCAGTATTAGGCATAGAGAAGCCATGACTCAGAAAGAGGGGAGCTTACAAAAGGTGCACACGGGGAGGCGTGTCCTCAGAATGGAGGCGACCGGTTTCTCTTAGGAAAATGATTGTTTTTTTCATTCGGTGCTTTACATCCAATGGCCGTTATTCAATTGAACCCTTGATGCTGGTTAGCATATAACAGCAGTAAGAGCAACTTGATGTTTTTCTACTTGTATTAACAGCAAGCTCTATTGCATAACGTACTCGATTCTGGACTAGGGAAATGCAGTGTAGGTGATGAACCCACGATGATTTTCGGACTGGCTTGAGGATGTCGAGCCGCGATTCTGTGGGTTCGGGGCAGGTCGCGAAGGCACTTCTAAATGCGGTTGAGAGCGGTCTGCTGAAACATTCAATGGAAAACGTGTTGTCCACCCTCACCGCCACCCACATCGAACACCTTCCGCGAAATCGAGTCGCGAAACCACTGGACATTGGCATTGCGGGGAAATGCTCTCTCTGTGCCGGGAAGAAAAGGCAGGAAAACAATCGTCGTGACATTCATAAAACCAACACACGTCCCCAACACTGGATGTGTAAGACCGCCGTGGTCAGGTAAAAATGTCAACTCTCAGCGCTTCTTATCAGCATTCCTTCCTCCCTCGGTCGTCACCCATCCTGTTCGCACCTGTTTGGACTCCCGTTTCCGATCACTCCACGTCCGCATAGTGTTCATATAATTATCTCGGTTGATCCCAAGAGCAACTCGCGCTAGCATCTCCGCCATTTATTTTTCCGCCTTGAAGAGCCCCAGGCTCTCCAACAGCCAGTCGCAATGGCAAAACTCACGGGAAACTTCTCCCTGCTGCTCGTTGTCCTCTCACACGTCTGCCTCTCGCCTCTCCTCATCGCATCCGCCGGTGCGCCGCGCATCGCGCGCACGCCCAGCGCGCACAAAGAGCACCGCCGTCAGCGCCAGCTGACCGACATTGTCGGCCGTGGCGCGACCACGCGTGTGCACACGTCTGAAGATCCAAGCGCTCCAATAACATACGGAGGAGGGCCTGTGATGACCGGAAACCCGTCCATCAACGTGTACATCATCTACTACGGCAGCTGGCCGGCAGGATCGGGGCAGAAAATAATCGAGAATTTCATCAGATCGCTGAGCGCGGACTCGCAGCGGCAGGGGAGTCCCGCGGATCCCAAGGTGAAGCGCTGGTGGGCGATCAGCGCGGCGTACACGCAGGAGGAAGAGGACGGCACAAAGACGAACGTCAGCAGCAAGGTGTGTTGCACATAAACGTTGCCACTACTCCCTCCCATAACTTTGCCACAACACCCCTCCCATAAAGCACCTCGTCTCTCTCTATCAACTTAATGAAATGCAAATTATTTTGCATTCGTTTCATTCCAGGTGCGCCTCGCCAGGACTGTCCGTGACAACTACTCGGCGGGAAAGGATTTTGGCAAAGACACGGTTTGGGAAGGTACGCAGCACGGCAAAACCATTTCGCGGCCTCTTCCAGCATTTCGCAGCATTCCACCACTCCACCTCTTCCAGCATGATGATACCTGCCGTTGAGCAACTATGCACTGCCGTAAGCAAGTCAGGATACGTTTCTGTCACAATCTGAACTATTAAAAAGCCCTCCTTTGTTGCAGTTCTTTCCAACAAGATTGGCGCTGGAAAGCCGTTTCCGTACGACGCGAGTGGCATCTACCTGCTTCTTTCCAGCAAGGATGTCACCGTCCCGGGTTTCTGTACCGAGTATATGGGGTGGCACAGCATGGGCTACATCGATTCCGAATCGCCGGTTGTATTCTCGTTCGTGGGGCATCACGGGCAGTGCAAAGAAGAATGGATTCCGAAGCCGTCTCCCAACGGCAACCCTGCGATCGATTTCACGCTTTCAACCATTTCTCATGAGATTGCGGAAGCAGCAACGGACCCAGATGTTCAGACCGGGTGGGGCGACGAGAACGGTGAGAATGCGGACAAGTGTTACATGGACGTTGGTCAGACGAAAACGGGCAAGGACAGCCGCGGTGGAACGTACAAGTACAATCTGGTTGGGATGAACAGCATGAGGTTTCTGATCCAGAGTAACTGGGACTGGCAGAAGAACAAATGTGTGACGCAGAGGAAGTACCAGTAGGGGGAGGATTTATGTGTGTCATCATGCTCGAATGAAACGTTTCCCATCTCTTTCTGAAGTCTAGATACAATGAATACGGTCCGATGCATGGATGTACCGTGAAATATAAATCAACAGCGCTTCTTTTATGCATCATGATTAGCCAAGCAGAGCCAAGCCTAGTCGATCCAAGCCTAGGAAAAGCAAGGTTCAGCCCAACCCAAGTAAAGCTATTCCAAGCAAATTAAAGCCAAGCCAAGCCAGGTTGGAGGGCAAACCAAGCCAAGCATAGCCAAGCCATGCAAAGCCATGCCAAGCCGGGCTCGACCAGTCCAACCCAGGACAAGCCTAGCCAAGCCAAGAATCGCCAGGCCAGGACAGGCCAGACCAAGCCAGGCCTCGCCAGGCCAAGCAAAGCCAAGCATTGCCAAACATAGTCCATCCAAGCCAATCCAGGCCATGCCAAGCCATGCCAAGACAACTCCATGCATGCCAATCCAAGGCAAGCCAAGAGGATAAATCAAACAAAGCCAAGCCTTGCCA